TCCCCCAGCACTGGGTGGAAGGAGGGAGAGGAGCCAGGCCTGCGGAGTCCTGGATTCGGACCTTCTATGTGCAAGACGCCTTTGCCCAGGGCGCTCACATTTCACTAGGGCGAGAGGACCCGGGTGTAACCTTTCCAGAACTCTGATCCTGCACATACCACTGTTCAGTGGCGGGGGGGGGGGGGAGGGCAAGGGGGGGAGGGGTTTGCAGTGAGAGCAGAGCCACGGAGGAGGGCACCGGAGGGAAGGAAGAGGGTTACAGAAGCCATTCTACCCAGAACGCTCTTGGACCTGGATGATCCTGGGGGTGGACTCAGGAGACAGACTACCAGCTGAGGTCACTGGAGTAATTTGGGCATCTGTAAAGAAGTGGATGAATGAATGAACAGTTTCCCAGTCCTACGATTAAATAAAACAATTAAGACAGAAGGAAGATCACAGCATGACTCAAGTGTGGCAACTAGAATAACAGAACACTGAGCTGGGAAGGTGAGATGGTAGGTTGCAGGCCAGATCTACCTTTCTCAGCTCTGTGACCTTGGGCAAGCCACTTCTCTGGACACCAGTTTCCAACATTAGTCAAACTTGTCAGCATGCTAGACTATAGCTCGACATTAAATTTACCCCGTGTCCTTGAAACATTCATCTGCCCAGGTCCTCAGTTTCCACTGCTTTGGTCTAGTAGGAATATTGTTTCACTGGTACTTTAAAGACGTTAGCAAGCCCCCTGTTCTTAGACCCAATGCCCCAAATCGTCATAAATTAGAAACGTGGACAGGTACAGTCAGTTTTTCAAAACACAAAAATGACCTGGGGGACATTTTGTGCATTCTTGCAAAAAGGATTTTGTTAAACAATCCATGTGCCAACTGCTATATGAAGTTATTTTTCCCCCTCGGTGTTTCTAGATAGGGTTTCTCTGTATAGCCTTGGCTGTCCTGGAATTCTTATTTTTCCCCCTCGGTGTTTCTAGATAGGGTTTCTCTGTATAGCCTTGGCTGTCCTGGAAACTCCCTCTGTACACACACACACACACACACACACACACACACACACACACACAGATTCACCTGTCTCTGCCTCCCTAGTGCTGGGTTTAAAGGACCGTGCCACCACTGCCTGGCTTATATGAAGTTATTAATGTGCCCTCAGCAGTGCATTCAGCTGGGGAACAACTTACCATTGAGTTCTAAAGAGCTTTGCATTCACCAGTGATCCGATTTAGCAGCTGTCACCAAATCCTGAATAATTGTGGTTTGGATATTAATGTGCCCTCAGCAGTGCATTCAGCTGGGGAACAACTTACCATTGATGCCTGAGAGGAGTGAGTTCTAAAGAGCATTGCATTCACCAGTGATTTAGCAGCTGTCACCAATAATTGTGTCCTGAATAATTGTGGTTTGGATGGGAATCATCAAATTTGGAGTTCAGAGACAATAGTGCATTTGGGATTGTCTCTAGGTATCTGAGACCCTGACTGGCTGCAGACCAGCCCAAGTGTAAACAAACTATGGGACTTTCCAGGTTCTCTGCTGCCTCAAGAGTGGGACCAGTGTTGACTGAACTCTTTCACCTCTTTCACCTCTTGCCCTTTCTTGTTCTGAGTTGAGCAGCAGAGGGGACTGAGTAGAAAAAGTACAGCTTCAAAGGAACTGGTATTCAGAAGTAGGGAGGCATTGTGAGCAACCCAGAGGAACGGGTTAGTGCTGTCTAAACTAAACAAGTGGATCTAATAGAAAGTTGAGACAGGCAGTTGAAGGCTGGAGGACACCGAGAGGAAAAACCATGGATCTGTTTTCCCTGGAAAGATTCGGAAAAGCTTCCTCCCATCTTTCTCACCACCACCACCTCCTACAACACTTCTGCACACAGCTATTTCTAGCTTCCTAGAATGACCCAATCTTCTTCTAACCCTAAGTCTTAGGTTCCCAACCTTCCTGATGCTGCAACCCCTTGACACATGTTGCGGTGATCCCCGACTATAAAGTTATTTTGTTGCTACTTCTTAACTGTAATTTTGCTACTGTTATGAACCATAATGTAAATATCTGATATGCAGGATATCTGATATTTGACCCCCAAGGGGGTCATGACCCACAGGTGAAAACCACTCTTCTAAGAATTAAGGCTTCTCTGATTTTTATGATCTTCAACTTTGTAGAGAAGGAATTGTACAAAACAGGGACCTTCTTCCTCTTACACTGCTAAATCAGGCCTCTGGGAAAGACTTAGAACTCACCTTCATTCACAGGGTGGCATCAGAAGGAGCTATGGTTTGCTCTTAGTGCTACTCCAGGTAGCCTTAAATTCAGGGTGTGAGTTTGGCTTGCTTGAATCTTTGTAGATGAAGAGAAAAGTCATAGGAACCAGTGTGAGAAATACTTCTTACTGGAGGAGAAATATAAAACACAGATTATTACTATAATAGCAAAGGTTTTCTGGAATCCTTGTGAGAAAGTGATGTGATTCTTTTGTGAGTCAAGACTTAGAGTGTCTTTAAGATTTGGAAATTAAGTTGGCCATACTGACACACACCTTTAGTCACAGCAGTTAGGAAGCAGAGACAGGCAGATCTCAGCCTGGTCTACCAAAGCAAATAAACAAAAAGACTCATAAATTAGTCTCACCTCAGTTCCAATTCAAGAATCTTATCAGGTCTATATCAAGCCAGCCAGACAACTCTATACATCCGTCTGTCTTTCTGACTGTCTGTCCATCCGTCCATCCATCTATCCATCTTATCTTTTTTTTTTTTTGAGACAGGGTCTCTATACATAGCCCTGGCTGACCTGGGACTCACAGGATTAGGCTGTCCTCCAACTCACAGAAATCTGCCTGCCTCTGCCTCCCGAGTGTAGCCAAATAACTCTGAAGAAGGTTTTTGTTGTTTTCTTTTTAATTTTTATATTATTTTATATTAGCATTAGTGAGGGAGAGAGAGAGAGAGAAACAGAGAGAGACGGGGTGAGGGAGGTGTGGCACGGGTGCCTGACATTCATGTGGAGTCAAAGGAGTTTGTTTTCTCTTTTAATTTTTACATAGATTTTGGGGATGGAACTCCAGGTCACCAGAGTTACATGGCAAGTGCCTTTGAGCCATCTCCCTGGCTCCAAAAAAAAACGAGCTTTAAAAGAAAAGAAAGGAAAAAAAACGAGAATTGGATGGACTTTGACTTAAATTCAGTCTCCTCCATCCCACAAAGCTTGGTTAAGTAATGAAGTCTTTATGGCCTCCTTTCCCTCATCTGAGGCTAAACCATGTCATCCACATTTACTGGGCGGACTATGGGAGATAATGTCTATAATGCATGGAACATTCTTGAAGATTATGGTGAGCAGATTCCATAAACGTACTTTTCCTTCCCCCCACCTTCCCTAACTTTCTTTATGCATGCTGTCCCACTAGAACCACCCTTTGGTGAGGTTACTCAAATACCATTGTAAACCCTTCAGTTTGAGTGTAAGGTACAAAATAACCCAGGTGACCCAATCATATGGGATTCTATTTCCTTACAAATTATAATAGATCATATTAACTTTATCCTAGTGTGCCCTCCTGATGAGGTCTGATGATTTAGGAGGGGGGCAGGCTTTGGGATCTATAATACAAAGAAGTTATTTCATTGGTGGAATTTATTTATATTTGTTTGGTGTAGTTTTTTTCTATTGGAGATTTTGAATGGACACTGTCAGAGTCCATAACATCAATAGATGTTTGTGAGCAGGACTGGGGGAAAGAATCCGTGTGTTCTTGTGCCTTGCAGTCCCTGTTCTTTGGGTTGACACCCGATTATTACCAGTAAACCAGTCAGCATCAGAGTGGAGCATTCACCTTAAACCTAGATGGTTTTCTATCTTTTCAAAGAGATGCAGAGGAAGAGGAAGAAGGGGGGAGGGCAAAATATGGCCATCACCATTCCCAGTACCAGAGCTCCAGAAATTGCCCTGGTCTCAGGTACTCCATCTTTATTCTTTATGATCAGTGTGCTATCTCACAGCCTTGTATGTGAGAGAGGCATGGTTTCAAGTTCTCCTCTTGTTCCTGGGGCTTAGTTCCCTATGTGGTCATGGCAGGAAGCAATGTGGTGCAGAAAAGTAGGGGGTTTGAAGCTGTGAAAGAACTGGACCAATATCTCTGCTCCTGCAGCCCAGGGCAGAGTGCCAGCCTTCCTCATTGTAGCATGCACTGCACAGAAGAGACCTCTGTTTCAGCCTTAGGGACTCTGTGGTATAGGGTCTTACTCATCTCCGTATCTCAAGTGTCAGGACACAAGGTAGATGCTGAGTTTCAAATGAATGAATGAAATAGAAGGAGCTCAGAACAGGGAATCAGGAGCTGTGAATTTGAAATCCAGCTCTCACATTAGCTAAATATGACTTTGAGACATCATTTAATCAGAGGAAGGAGGGCTTCTGGGTTCAGAAGTGGTCTGATAATGTCTGAGGTCTTTTTGGTCCCTATGAGGCTCTCAGATTTTCCTGTTATCCACTAACTCTGCTGTCTGGCACCACAGATTGTGGTGTTCTGGGTTTGGAGATAAGGGTTTATTGTAGAACGCTTGCCTAGCATTCTTAAGGCCCTGTGTTTACCAGACACCACAAAATGAAAAAATAAGAAACATTCACTCCGACAAGTAAAAAGAAATCTACTATAGACAGTATTTAGATATTCCTAACTTCAGAGGCTCAAAGTAGAAAAGAAAAAACAATTAACAACAAAGTTGTTATGAGTATATTTCTCTTTTTGAAGAATCAGAGCAGGGCTCAAGTTTAAACTTATAATTCCCATTGATGATGGGAAAGCTCTGTAATCCATGCTGATAGCAGAGTAGGGTTTGCTGGATGTGACTACTGAGCACTTGCTATGTGGCTGGCATGACAGAGCAACTGAATCTTAGCTTTTGTTTCATTTTATTTGAAGCAATTTAAATAACAATAGTTGGCTGGACACTACTTGTTGAGTAGGATAACTCTAAGGCCTGAGCTCCATGTCTTTCTCTCTGCTAAAGTGATTGGTACAGGTCATGCTTAAGAAACGCCATCTTTGTATTTTTTCAGTTTAAAAACCTAGGTTCTCATTTTATTTTCTGAAACAAATATTTTCGATCACTTCAAAGGGTCATTCATTTCCTGATGAGACAAATATCACATTCGGAGATATCATGATACTGACAGTCTTACAAATCAATGTTGTTTTGTTCAACCAAGAAATGCCATCTTTTGGCAGGTGTTCAACAGTGCCCAGGGAAGAAAAGGTTCCATACTTAGTATTCACTGCCCCAAGTTAGGAATCTGTACATGCTTCCTTATGCTCACTGACAATACACCCAACATTGCTGCCCTTCCTCAGATGTGACACCCTGATTGTGTCCTGTCATAGACACCAGAAACCGAGAGGAATAACAAGTTCCATGGGGAGTCAGGGAGTCACAGAGTGGATGAAGATAAGAAAATCCCTCTGAGGATGAACTAGGGAAGATCCATTGCTTTGCTGGAGAGGCCAGCTTTGAGTATGTTAAGGGTATGGTACAAAGACATCCAGTGACTTTTCTCTGTCCCTGGCTCTGTCAGGAAGGTGAGCCACCAGTGCTCTCTACTGAAGCTTTCAGAGCTTAGTTTAGATACGGAAGTTATGTAGGCCCTGCAGGCAGGTACTCTGTCTTCCTTCCTCAGTATTGTCATCTATATAGATAATTCTTACTCCTTTGGAACAAGTCTGCTGAAAACAAGGGCACATATGACCTTTACAGAACAGTCGATGGCTCCAGCATTGAGCTGGGCCAGACCAGGCCATGCAAGGCATGGTGGTAGCACTGGATACCACCCAGGGGCAGAGCACAGCTGTTGGTAAACCCAGCCAAGAGCATGCTTTGCTGATAGTATTAACTTCAGAGGGTGGAAGAATTCCAGAGCTAGAAACAGCCTTTAAATAAACCTTAAGTCCTTCCTTTTAAAAATGAAGAAACAGGGACTCAGAGATCCAAGGCACCTAGTGAATGAGTTACAGGGCCAAGACTAGAACCTGGGTTTCCTGATCCCCAAACTAGATCCCTTTTTACTTTGATCAGCACTAGACAAATAGTGCACAGCTCTATTCTTGAGTGGATGCAAGCCCCAAGTACAGATTACTGTCTTCTTGCTTAATGTCCAAACACTGACTGAGTGACAGAGAAGCAGATAGAAGCAAACAATTAACAATATATTCATCATTTAATGAGGATGCCCATAACACGCCAAAGGTGATGGGCTGAACAGACAATTTGGGAGAACAAGAGATGGCAGTTTCTTACTTTCTGTTCTAATCAATGTGTGTTCCCCCGGAAAGAAATGTGAGTATCATAGGATGGGGACATTTCATATTACTCAACACAGAAGGTGTAGTCAGCTGTGATGAAAGGTGGAAAAGAAAACAATTCCAGTGGTCTGAAACACCCCTGCTTCTTACCACTGGGAAATAGCAGCATCAGCAGATTCCAAAGAGGAACAGAAGTGGGAATAATAGAGGCTGATAAGGAAAGAGGAGGGTGCTTCCCGCTGGGCCTGAGCCAGGCCTGTCAACATTCACAGAGCCAGTGCTGTTGCTGGAAGGGTATATGCTTTCAGGGAGGGAAAGTCAGGCTGGCAGTACCAGGAAATGGCTTGGTAGAAGCCTCCCCTCCATCATACCTCCAACGAGGCAAGAAACTACTGGAAGTTAGAAATAAAGTAAGGGCAAGAGTCCACGACTGGTCAAGGAGTAGTGAAAATGAAATTAAATGAAAAACATTCCAGGCATGCCTGATCTGACTTGATCTATTTCTGATCTTTCGGTTGGAGGGGGGAGGGGTCTAGCTTTGAAACAGGCATTACCAAAGCCAGAATTACAGAGGTTTTGTGTTAGTCATTATCTTAAAGAAGCTATGTGTGGCCCCGAGTGCCATGC